TGCTGTGTGTACCTGATTTGCCTGCTAGATCCTGATTGTTTGACTCTGCTATTCATCCAGCCTGTGACCATCACCTGCTACCAGTCTTCTGCAGTCGCTGAGTTCCTGTTGCTCTGCTGCTAGAATCTGCTGGCCACTACTCCTGCTGACCTGCATCCTCAGCCAACCTGCATCCACAGCCTACCTGCATCCTCAGACAGCCTGCATCCGCAGCATACCTGCATCCTCAGCCAACCTACATTCGCAACATACCTGCATCTGCAACATACCTGCATCCTCAGCCAACCTGCATCCTCAGCCAACCTGCATCCACAGCCTACCTGCATCCTCAGACAGCCTGCATCCGCAGCATACCTGCATCCTCAGCCAACCTACATTCGCAACATACCTGCATCCGCAACATACCTGCATCCTCAGCCAACCTGCATCCTCAGCCAACTGCATCCCTCAGCATCCCAGCCAAACTCCTGCATCCACAGCCTACCTGCATCCTCAGCCAACCTACTTCCGCAGCATCCTCAGCCAACCTGCATCCTAGCCCTTGCATGCATCCTCAGCCAACCTACCTCCGCAGCCACCTGCACCAGCATCCGCAGCCTACCTGCATCCTCAGCCAACCTGCATCTGCAGCCTATCTGCATCCTCAGCCAACCTGCATCCACAGCATACCTGCATCCTCAGCCAACCTGCATCCACAGCATACCTGCATTCTCAGCCAACCTGCATCCGCAGCCTACCTGCATCCTCAGCCAACCTACATCCGCAGCATTCCTGCATCCTCAGCCAACCTACATCCGCAGCATTCCTGCATCCTCAGCCAACTTGAATCCACAGCCTACCTGCATCCGCAGCATACCTTCATCCTCAGCCAACCTGCATCCGCAGCCTACCTGCATCCGCAGCATACCTGCATCCTCAGCCAACCTGCATCCGCAGCCAACCTGCATCCTGCAGCCTACCTGCATCCGCAGCCATACCTGCATCCTCAGCCAACCTGCATCCGCAGCCAACCTGCATCCTCAGCCAACCGGCATCCACAGCCTACCTGCATCCTCAGCCAACCTACATCCGCAGCATACCTGCATCCTCAGCCAATATGCATCCACAGCCTACCTGCATCCGCAGCATACCTGCATCCTCAGCCAACCTGCATCCTCAGCCTACCTGCGTCCTCAGCCTACCTGCGTCCTCAGCCAACCTGCATCCTCAGCCAACCTGCATCCTCAGCCAACCTGCATCCTCAGCCAACCTGCGTCCTCAGACAACCTGCATCCTCAGTCAACCTGCATCCTCAGCCAACCTGCGTCCTCAGCCAACCTGCATCTGGGTCGTATGGACTACCACCTGTAAGCTGACATCGCAGACCTGCCACCCCTGGGTCTTGTGCCTCCTGTCTGCTCTACCAGGGGCACCGAGCAAGAGGTGTAAGAGGACCCCTTCATCTCCACGTCAGGCTCCACCACCAGGTTCGTGACACCAACATAAGGCCTGAAGGCAGCCACCAACCCTCCAAGCAAACAGGGAAAGACAGAGTGAGTATTCCTACATCCCCTGGGCCAGATAAGAGGAGAGGGCAATCTGGTACAATACCCAACTAGTCTTCATTCTGGGACTGTTCTCAATCTACAGTTCTTGGGCCTTTTGCCCAGGGAATACCCTCAGGCAGCTGAGTGAAGAGGAGGATTCACCTGGGGTCTGAGGAGGTACACCAAAGTGCTTTGAATGCTCTTAGAGGAGAGTGTATTTCTGTCTACATTTTTGTACATAGTTCCTCTAAGTTTTCCTCATGTTTACAGTTCCTCGGGCATCCTGTATACACGTAGACCCTATTCAAAGTTGTTAACCCCTTAATAAAACAACAAAACCAAGCTCAAAGGCTATTTACTGACTCCAGTGTGCAAAGTGTGGAAGAAAATGCGTGTTGCCTAGCTGTGCAGAGCTTTAGGGAGACCCAAAACTCAGCGGCTCCTAAGGGGGTAGTGCTACATCTGCATTAAAGTAAAAAACCTTATGAGTGCAACTCCCTTTTCCGAACCCTCCCCCCCCCCCTCCCCTTACACTTACCTGAGCCCAATCTCAATCCAGCAATGCTCACAAGAGCAGAGGCTCTCTCTGCTCTCTCCTTTCTCATAGGCTCAGGGACAGCAGCAGGTTGGCTATTGATGCTGTCAATCATAGCCAGTGAGGAGGGAGTGTTAGGCACAAACCTGCCGCAGCGTAAAAATCCCGGCATTTTTTAGGTTAAGGGAATACCTCATACGGTCAAGGGCATGCAAACGCCACTGCACAAAAGCATCAGCATTTACCTAAGTATGACCATGTACAGCCATTCATTCTTAAGGCCAGCAGTATGCACCATCTGCAGCTCCTCTGGTGCAGAAAAATGCCAGGATTGTTATGCTAATTCAGACTCGCACCTCAAAACATCCATGTGAATGATGGCTCAGCAAAAGAAATTTGTATCTGACGCTCCGTATGACACATCCAAGAGCAGATCGTTCATTTATCACAATCAGAGAGGCAGCAACCTTGGACCTGACCCGGGTCCATACACACCATACTGTCATCACAGAGTCACCTCCTTGAAGAAGAACCGTCTCTTCAGTAAATTATATAGTTACCAGATCCAATTCCATCAGTGAATGCTCCTTATGCAGGAAGATAAAAAAGATATGATTACTGATCAGAATATTTATAATGAAAACTCTTTTTTTTACATTTGATGGTAGAATCCTTATGATGAACTCCTTTAATTCTGGATGTTACTTTCCCAGTCCCAGAAAAAAACATCACTAGGTGCAACGCCAAGGTGGTCGGATCTCTGTCAGTGAACGCTTTTCTTGGCAGGGATAAAATCCAGAACACGTCACAAAAGTCTCGAGTACTGAGTATGTCCTGACCCAACTACACCACTAACAAAATAAATATATATGAAACATTGTTGAAGGCTGACATCAGAATAGGACATTAGTCACAACACTAAAAACCACAGGCTGCATCCTCCGATTCTCCAGAATACATTGTGTCATCTCAAAGACTAATAATATACAGGAAGACGGAAGAATATTATTAGTAGTAAGTAGGATAATGTTATGTGAGCCCAACATTCCGATATGATTTACCTACAATTCTACATGACTCCAGATACAAGGAATATGAAACAGGATATATTATACAGGAGTGACATCACCACTCTCCGGATATAAGATATATTATACCGGAGTGACATCACCGCTCTCCAGATATAAGATATATTATACAGGAGTGACATCACCGCTCTCCAGATATAAGATATATTATACCGGAGTGACATCACCGCTCTCCAGATATAAGATATATTATACAGGAGTGACATCACCACTCTCCGGATATAAGATATATTATACCGGAGTGACATCACCGCTCTCCAGATAGAAGATATATTATACAGGAGTGACATCACCGCTCTCCAGATATAAGATATATTATACAGGAGTGACATCACCACTCTCCAGATATAAGATATATTATACAGGAGTGACATCACCGCTCTCCAGATATAAGATATATTATACAGGAGTGACATCACCGCTCACCAGATATAAGATATATTATACAGGAGTGACATCACCGCTCTCCAGATATAAGATATATTATACAGGAGTGACATCACCGCTCTCCAGATATAAGATATATTATACAGGAGTGACATCACCGCTCTCCAGATATAAGATATATTATAGAGGAGTGACATCACCGCTCCCCAGATATAAGATATATTATACAGGAGTGACATCACCGCTCTAGATATAAGATATATACAGGAGTGACATCACCGCTCTCCAGATATAAGATATATTATACAGGAGTGACATCACCGCTCTCCCAGATATAAGATATATTATACAGGAGTGACATCACCGCTCTCCAGATATAAGATATACAGAAGTGACATCACCACTCTCCAGATATAAGATATATTACACAGGAGTGACATCACCACTCTCAAGATATATTATACAGAAGTGACATCACTGCTGTCCAGGTATAAGATATATTATACAGGAGTGACATCACCGCTCTCCAGATATAAGATATATTATACAGGAGTGACATCACCGCTCTCCAGATATAAGATATATATATACAGGAGTGACATCACCGCTCTCCAGATATAAGATATATTATACAGGAATGACATCACAGCAGCTCTCCAGATATAAGTTATATTATACAGGAGTGACATCACTGCTCTCCAGATATACTCCACTGTAAGCCTAGTCTATCCACCCTGTGTAAGGAAAGATGTCTGCACTTACCTTTTCTGAAGTCCAGCAGCCGGCTTCAGTGTAGAGGAGAGATCGCCAACAATTGCTGCAGAGGCTGTACGATGACGTCCCCCATAGACTTATTATGGGCATCAATTGTCAGCTGTCCCTCCTCTCCACTGAAGCCGTGCTGGGAGCGGATCATGTGACCGGACCAGGGTGACTTCAGAATAGGTAAGTATACGCACATTTCCTTGTAGCGGTTGGATAGAATAGGCCTAGGATTGGGGTGGGAGTAGAATTAAGCTTAGTTCGGTTTTGACTTTCTTCCACCTTATTGTGTGTACAAAAATGTAATAAAAATACAACACATTAATGTCTAGTAAAATATTTTTTTTATTCTGAAGTATTATACACAGGCAGCATGTTATTATCTTTGTATTAAATATAATTTTGGCTTTATTTAAAGCTGCACTCCAGTCACACATTAGGATGTTGCATTCAGTCTGACCCGGGACCCGGCCTCCCTGTGGAGAGTCTCTCCATCTTATTCCTTGTAACTTCTCCATCTGCACAGTCTGAGCAAATTCTATCCAGTGTGTTCCCTGGGTCTAGCCTCGTCCCTTCTGAACCCAACACATCCACTGGGCCCAGAGCCAGAATAGCTCCGAGTCATATAACAAGAGGGTGCAGACCACTAGCTGAATTGCAGAAAACTTCAAGGTAATCCAGACTTGCAGTCACATTGGCAGGTCACCGGATGGTTTTATCATCTCCCAGACTTTCCTCAATAATGTTGATGGCGTTGTCACAGAGGTCAGTTGGTCCACCTGGTGCTCCCTCCGTAAGCTTTGTAAGGTAAGATGTATCCGGTATCGGACTGGTTAATCCACCGGTTCTGTGTCTCTCTGAGACCCAGCTTCTTGCGCTCGCTCTGACAATAACTTCTCCACTCTGTCCTGATCCTTAAAAGGATTTCGCCCGTATTCCTGCCGCAGCCACGATCGGTACTGCAAGAGGAACAAAACCACAGATCAAGGCATTGAAGGGGAGCACACGCTACATGAAAGCCTACATACAGAGGAACATAGTAAGATAGTAACAAAGTGACCTAGTAAGATAATAACATAGTAAGATAGAAAAATAGTAACATAGTAAGATAGAAAGATAGTAGGATTATAACATTGTAAGATAGTAACATACTACGATAGGAAGACATTCTCTTAGATTGTAAGCTCCCAGGATCAGGGCCCTCCTATCCCTCTTGTATTGAACTGTATTGTCTCCCGTTATATTGTAAAGCGCTGAGCAAACTGTTATATAAATCCTGTATAATAATAATATATAAATCTAGTATAATAATAATAATTAATAATAATATATAAATCCTGTATAATAATAATAATAATATATAAATCCTGTATAATAATAATATAAAAATCCTGTATAATAAAAAAAAAAAAAAATAATAATATATAATAATAATATATAAATCCTGTATAATAATAATATATAAATCCTGTATAATAATAATACATAAATCCTGTATAATAATAATAATATATAAATCCTGTATAATAATAATATATAAATCCTGTATAATAATAATAATTAAAACAAAAACACTGTAAGATTATTATTATTATAACAGTTTGCTCAGCGCTTTACAAAATAATGGGAGACAATACAGCAACAATACAGTTCAATACAAGAGGGATAGGAGGGCCCTGATCCTTGGAGCTTACAATCTAAGAGATTGTAATCAGAAATCAGAGATTTCATCAGAAAGACATCGTCAGGGGCCACAACACCCTGCCTCAGTACTCCTCAGAAGATCCCTCAGTCCTGATGCAAGCAGTGTGAGGAGTTATGCAAATATCAAAACGCCTTGAAGGGTGGGTGTCCACCTGGAGGAGTGGGTGTTCCTAGACAGGCTGTATTTGCATGGTAACGCCCACATGTGATGCTCAGCCTCCATGATTGAAAGAACTGAAATCAAATGAATGAAAGGGGCGGGGCCAGTCAGGGTGGAGAGGAAGAAGCTAGATAATGCTGGACGTCCTCCAGCCAGGAAATAAGGTGAGCTTGTCTGCAGCTTCTAATGTACATTGTAAGTTATTCCTGTAAAAGAACCATTGTTGCTATGTCTACTCTCTAGGTGTACATAGGGGGCAGACATTGGCTGTACATATTCAGCTGCCGCTTCCTCCTCTGCAGCAGTGATTGCGGCGCTCTGTCCCTCTCTCAGCAGAAATCAGTCCATTTGATCAGATTGATTGTAAACCGCAGACACTTATCACAGCAAAAATCACATTGAAAAATGACTTTCAGGAAACCATTGCTGCAATAAAATGTGAACTTGTTGAAACAGGTGATCTGGACATCTACAGAGCGTGAGCAGGCGAGAATCTGCAATAATCTTGATTTCTGTTTTTGGTGTACTTGACCCCCCCCCCCCCCCCTTCAAATAGAATATCATGGAGGTTTTCTTTCCTGTCTCAGAGCTCAGCCATCGGTGAACCGCAGGCGTGTCTCTGGTCTGTGCGCTGAGCACCTCTCACGCGATGGAGATAGACGGACAGGAAGGGGAACCAAAAGGATCCCAACTTCCCCTGCAGATGTGTCACCTACACCTGACCCTTCAAATCTTTTTATTTGCCAGAAAAAAAAATCTCTGCATTTCAAAAAGATCCCATTCCTCCAATGTGCCAAATTTATGGAGCAAGAGGACCTGTCACCCCCAAACACAGGACACACAGGGGACGGGTTTAAAGCCCAGGTCCGGGGAAATCCTGGGTTTTTTTTTTCTTTTTTTATTAAAAAGTTACAACCTTTTTATTTATTTATTTTAATGTTATTTTATTTATTTTTTGCTTTTTATTGTTGTCATTGGAGAGATTTCCCTTCACTTCCTGTGTGGTCATCTGGAAAGGAAGGGAGGGGAAATATCTTCAATGGGTACTCAGACAGTGATCCAAACCTGACAAAGGTTCTAACCTGTTCCCACTCCATTCAAAATGAAAAAAAAAAAATTCCGGCTGGAGTTGGGCTTTAACCCCTTGCCTACCGGGCACTTTCACCCCCTTCCTGTCCAGGCCAATTTTCAGCTTTCAGCGCTGTTGCACTTTGAATGACAATTGCGCGGTCATGCAACACTGTACCCATATGAACTTTTTATCATTTTTTTCACACAAATAGAGCTTTCTTTTGGTGGTATTTACTCACCGCTGGGTGTTTTATTTTTTGCACTACAAACAAAAAAAAGCAAAAAAATTTTAAAAAAAGTTTTTTTTTCTATTATAAAATTTTGCAAACAGGTAATTTTTCTCCTTCACTGATGTGCATTGATGAGGCTGCACTGATAGGCAGCACTGATGAGGTGGCACAGATAGGCAGCATTAATGGGCACTGATAGGCAGCACTGATGAGCTGGCACTGGCGATGCTGCACTGATAGGCGGCACTGATGGGCAATGATGGGCAGCACTGATGGGCACTGATAGGTGGTACTGATGAGGTGGCACTGACGATGCCGCACTGATAAATGGCACTGATGGGCAATGATAGGCGACACTGCTGGGCAATGATGGGTGGCACTGACTGACAGCACTGCGGCACTGATTGGCAACACTGCTGGGCAGCACTGATGGGGGGCACTGCTGAGCACAGGTGGGTGGCACTGCTAGGCACTGCTGGGCGAAGGTGGTGGCACTGATGGGTACAGGTGGGCGGCACTGATGGGCACTGATGGTTGGCACTGACTGACAGCACTGCTGGGCACTGATTGGCAACACTCATGGGCAGCACTGATGGGGGCACTGCTGAGCACAGGTGGGTGGCACTGCTAGGCACTGCTGGGGCGAAGGTGGGCGGCACTGATGGGTACAGGTGGGCAGCACTGATGGGTACAGGTGGGCGGCACTGATGGGTACAGGTGGGCGGCACTGATGGGCACTGATGATCAATGCTGATACGTTCTCTGAAATTGCCGGTTATCGGCAGTACTTTCCTCACGCTGTGACAGTATGAGGAAAGTGCAGCCGATAACCGGCAACTGTATTTACCCGGTGATCACTGTGTCATTGGACACGGCTGATCATGTGGTAAAAGGCTGCTGTGATTGGCCTTTTACCACATCACGTGATCAGCTATATCCGTAGTACACAATGATCACAGAGATCGCCGCTCCTTGGGGGCACGCAGGAGGGACGTTCTGGGAGGACATCATATGACGCCCTCCCAGAACTGGATAACCGCACTGTAGCCTTCATTTGGCTAAAGCGCTTGGCAATCGGTTAAAAAGAAATTCTGCTTAAAGTGATCCTATAATCACAATGCCTTCATCTGCTTTTCTCTCCAGAAGGATGGCACCATCTTTGTTCAGGCATCATCCAGGGCCATTTACTTCCTGGACTGAGATGCCAGCTTAGAGATGACACAATTATGTATCTCCTGGTGCCTGTGCAGTTTCTTGGCTGTGTTCACAAATGTCTGACACAGATCAGCCCTATGCTACAGCCTCTCTCATTGTGACTTCCTACAAAGTTACAATGCACAGCCTGATCACTGTGGGAGGGGAGACTGAGGAGATGCTTCCACCTGCCTGCAGCGGACTGATGACATCATCTCAGCCTAGGCAAAGTCATTGATTGGAGGTCAAGGACAGCTTTTTAATGATAAAAGGTGGATCTTTTCTGAGAAATGATCCTGTTGCTGTATATTGTGACAGATCGGGGATTTTTTCCTGAAGACTTGAAAAGTTTCTTACATGTTCACGTTAACCACTTCCACGCTGCCCTATAGCAGAAATATCGCTACATGGTGGCACGGGTGCGCAAAATCACGTATATATAAGTCAGTTCCCCGCCGAAGTCCCGCAACAAGTCGCTCATTGCTGCCATCACTAGCACAGAAAAAAAAAATCCCAGTATCTATCCCGCCATTTGTAGACGCTATAACTTTCGCATAAACCAATTAATTTACACGTATTGGGATTTTTTTTAGCAAAGACATGTCGCAGAATACATTTTGGCCTAAATTTATGACGAAATTTGATTTTTTAATTTTTTTTTTACTGGACATGTTTAATAGCAAAGAGTCAAAAATATTGTTTTTTTTTTCAAAATTGTCGATATATTGTTGTTTATAGCGCAAAAAATAAAAACGCACAGGCGATCAAATACCAAAGAAAGCTCTATTTGTGGGAAAAAAAGGAGGTAAATTTCATTTGGGTGTAGCGTTGCATGACCGCGCAATTGTCAGTTAAAGTAACGCAGCGCCGTATCGCAACAAATTGCCTGGTCAGGAAGGGGGGAGTCCTCTGGAGGGCGAGCGGTTAACCCACCAGCCTGTAAATTCTGGTAAATTCTGGCTGTGGTTTGTGGTTGTTCATTTTACTATTTATGAACAGCTGTGAATTGGGGGAAATCTTGCTCCTGCTCAGCATGCTGGGATTTGTAGTTCTTTGTTGGCATCTGTCCAGCCAACCCCACCGCAGTATCGGTGCAGGGAAATCCCACGCTCTGTTGTGCAATGTGGGGGAAGGGAGTCAGCTTTTCACCATCCATGTGATTTTTTTTATATGATTCTTAATGCAATATGCAGATCATGAGTGGATCTGAGATTGTCTGCCCCGGTCACACCGCCGGTCAGGGGAACTGCTGAATCAGAAGACCGTGACCTTACTGAGCAAACAGAAACATTCCCTGACCTTCGTAGAAGAGATACACAAAAATAATAAATATGAAACACAAACAGAATGTTTACAATGATCACTGCACGATAAATGAGTCATCAGAGCCGCTAAACCCGGGACGGCGAGATGTCATGTGATACGGGAGGAAAAATATTTGATGTTATAAATGCAGAATGTAAAATAAAAAGTGTATTCTGTATTAAACATAATAATAATGACAGTAAAAATATAATGTGACTGGCTGAGTGTTCTCTGTGACTGTGGGGGGGGGGGGCATTAGAGTGTAAGCTCCTCTGGTGCAGAGACTGATGTGACT